TCCATCCCTCCATCCTTCCATCCATCCATCCAACCATCCCTCCATCCCTCAATCCCTCCAACCACTCACCCATCTGTCCATTTATACGTCCTTCCATCCATCCCTTCCATCTATCCATCCATCCCTTTCTCTATCCCATAACTTCCATCCATCCATCTATCCACAATTATCCATCAATTTACCTGTCCAACCATTTATTTGTCAGTTAATTTACTTTCAGTGATCAATTCATTTGCAATCAAATTAAAAGTTATCTTTACCAATCACCCAGGTTTACTGGCGAACCATTGGCGCAGGTCCCGAGGATGTAGCTTCCACCTCAGGTTTCTTGACCTTCCCTCCAAATATAAAGGAGAGATTTCTTAACATCGAGATCAAGGGAGATGACAAACCAGAACTGAATGAGACATTTGTGGTCATGCTGTATAGAGTTGATGGCGGAGGAGACTTGATTCCTAGCAAGCAAAATATCACTATTACAATAAGGTTTGTATGATATATTCTGGGGTCGTATGTGTTTTTATAGCCACCATGTTGGATGAGCCAAATGCTGTCGTCTTCGGTTCATCCAACATGGCGGCCATTTTTTGCTGGCTTTTATTGTCATAAGCATTGATACACGCCAGGCACACCTTCAGCCCCTAGCAAGAACAGTTACTTGCTGAACAAAGACTTGCGTTAAATAATGCCTTTAACGTATACCTTGAAACTTGTCACCAGTCCCTTGCTTTTTTTGATAGTACCATATATGTTAATCTTCTAGAGCCAATGACGATCCTCATGGAGTATTCAAGCTTAAGTCAGGTGCTCAGGGGATACTTGTGTCTTCCTCATCAAGAAAATTAAACATTACAATTCAGCGTGACCGTGGAACCTTTGGTGACGTGACTATTGATTACAGTGTCACGTACTCCTCGTGGTATCCTGGCAATCTTGGTGGGTCAGTCACGGTTCCTGATGGTAAAACAGAGGTAACAAAAAATCTTATATTAATAAAGATTGATTTATAAAATATTAAATGATGGGTTTTTTGATGAGACTAGAAAGAAAGAGGAAAAGATTGGAATTGTTTTTTAATTCTGACCCCCCTCCCCTCCCCCCAAGGATGTTTTTGTTATAGACGATAGTCTGTATGTTGCTTACTTAATGATTTGCTTGTTAGGTGAGTACACACGTAGCGCTGTCAGCATTTCTAGCTGTCGGATCTTCTTTCAAGATTACACTGACTAAAGCACGATACACCAGCAGTCAAGGTAAGTGCTTCTTGAATATCATTCCTAATATAAGGCCGCGTTCGTCACTGCTTATACTCAATTATCGAAAAATGACAATGAATACGAAAACGAGACGAACGGTGACCTGTTTCTTGTGCTTTTGATTTTAAGACATCGCAGTATCTTCTATCTTCTCGGTGGACGTTATAAAAGCTTTCTGCTTCCTTTTCAATTTTTTCAGTTTAGTTTAAATTGAAAATATGTGACTCACCGTTCGTCTCGTTTCAATGTTAATTCTCATGATTTATTCAAGATGGCAGAGAAGCCGTGAAGTGGGCTATGGAGTAAATTATACCTCAAGGTGCATCATGATTGATATGATTATCCATCTGATATCTGATTGGTTTTTTATTTCACAGGTCTTGATTCAGCGTTCTTACGGCCACGGCTGTCGTCCACGGACTTCCAAGCAACCATTCCCGTACCAGAAACGGCAGCTAACGGGCTGTTCAGTTTTGCAGCCGGCTCAACAAGACTCACCGCAGCAAATGGTAAATGTTTATGTGATTCATTTTACATCGAACATGCAAGAATCGAATGATTACTCAGTCTCCATAACCAGAGGCCCATGAATAAAGCACTCAAAGCCAGATCGAAGTGGAATTTAGAAGTGGATTTTTTCAAAGGGAGCAAAACCTAACCGGAGATCCCGTAGAAAAAAAACCCTCAAATCACAGGAGAGAACTAACAAACAGCTCTACTCACACGACACCGAGCCCGGAAATCTAACCCGGGTCGCATCGCCACCCGTGTTTCCCGTATCGAATATTTATCAGGTTACTAGTGAAGACTTGTTTGAGATTCCTGTTATGATTGGTTCGTTTGATATTGTCAGTGCCGTACCGTGACCGGCGTGCGTCTTGAATTTTCACAGTCATTTCAAACATCTACGCTATCAGCATCAATTTCAAACTCTGCACATTGAAAGATTTCATTAGTTCAGTTAAGCAAATTTGATGGATTCTTCTTTCTCCTAGATAATCAAGTTTCATCGATCATGGTTGTACGTCAAGGTCTTTATGGTAGTGTGACTGTCACGTGGTCTATGGGCTACCCACCTGACTCTGCTCCACCGGGATATACCGCTGGTCGTATTGAACCAACGACTAATGACTTGGTTTTTACTCCAAACACGAGAAACATGACTTTCTCAGTAAAGGTACAGTGTCACTGTTCGACAATAGTTTTATTGAATTCCTAATGTGCTTGTTTACGTTTCTTTATGAAACTTTTGAATTTAATTGATATCTTGAAACAACCTCTGGCTTGTCAAAGTCAGGGCACGGCTAACTCACAGATCCAACCCTGAAACAACCTCTGGGCTGATCAAAGTCAGTGCATGGCTAACTCACAGATCGAACCCTGAAACAACCTCTGGGCTGATCAAAGTCAGAGCATGGCTAACTCACAGATTGAACCCTGAAACAACCTCTGGGCTGATCAAAGTCAGAGCATGGCTAACTCACAGATTGAACCCTGAAACAACCTCTGGCTTGTCAAAGTCAGACCACGACTAACTCACGGATCAAACCCTGAAACAACCTCTGGGCTGATCAAAGTCAGAGCACGGCTAAATCACAAATGGAACCATAAAACGAGCTCTGGGCTGACTTAAATCAAGGCAGATATCGATTTGGAATTGACCATGTTGGGGGTTTTGGATGTAGGAAAATCTTTCGATTTCAAAAAGACACTGGTTATTCTTTCAAACTTGCAATGGTATAACGACCTTTTTTAATCTTATTGTTGTTTTGGCCAGGCCATACCAAAAACCTCACCTACCAGTCCACTAGTGTACGCCATTCATCTACAATCAGCTACGTCATCTGTACCTGGAGGTGCCAATGTTACAACATCATTATCTAACCGTACCGCGGTCATTGAATACAGCGGTGTAGTTGAGTTTGCACCAGATTCTCGATCCCAAGTCGTCACCGAGGGTGGACAAGTAAGATCAATAGTCTTTTTTTTTACAATAACAGAGCGTATTCTCGCAATCTGATTGGCTAACAACTATGATCAATGAGAGGACAGACACATAGAATGACGAATCGCTCGTGCACGGAGCCAGTGCGCGCTTGAACTGTTTTCTTTTAAACTTTCTCCTTGTTTTTAGATGCTTTTTTAAAATTTTATTGTAAAAAAAATAAATCGCTCAGAAATCTTAATTGACTGTCCTCTTATTTAACATAGCTGACGTCATGTATTGGAAATCTGTGAGCGATTTGTTAATCTTTGCACTCGGTCGTGGACCGTATTTCATAACTACGCGATCACACCTTTAATTTTCCATCACAATCCAAATATCTTCATCTTGTTTCTGTTACAGGTGATGTTCAGGCTGGTTCGTTTGTTCAGCATCTTTGATAACATCAAAGTTCGTTACATGGCACAGGGTGTAACTGCCACGGTCGACATGGCCGATGGCGAATACACAAAGAACTTTACTGTACCATCACGTGATAATGACGTCGCTGAAAGAGACTATAGCTACTATATTAACATCACAGGAGTCACAGGCGGTAAGCAAGGGATTTCAATACTGCTATTCTAATTCATACTATACGAAGGATTTGCAGCCATCTGCTCCTGTGTCTGCTCCTATTTCCACTCTACAGCGCCCCTATATTCCCAAATGTCATTTTATATATATTCTCTTGGCTAGGCTTATTATATATACACCTAATTGAAAAAACGTTGTCGGGTTCAAAAAAAGGTTATATCATCAAAGCTAAGACCGAAGGGGAGCATGGGAAGACAAACAATTTCGCTAATTTCATGCGTATTGCAGTTTTCCCTTCCTGTGCACATTTTATGCATCATGGCCTTGGCATGTTGTTAATCTAGGTTGACCGACTTTGCTCTACTGTACATTTTTACATATCAATATACAAATACAATACACATTTCGGAGTACCCAAAATCCTTTCGGTCTTAGCTTCGATGATGACCTTCTTGAACCCGACTACGTTTTTCCAATTAGGTGTATACATTGCTGTTTATTTACTAGGTCATTCCCCTCGACTCGGCACCAACACTGCTGCTCTAGTCAACGTTAAAGACAACGACGACGCAAACGGAGTTTTCAGTTTCGAGCCCACTTCAATGAAAGTTCCAGAGAATGCAACATCCGGGAACACGCGGACAGTTGAACTGACCATTAAGCGCACAGGAGGCACTCTCGGAGCAGTATCGGTGATTGTTCGTACTGTGGGTGGTGGTGAACCTTGGGACAAAGACGTCAGTCCAAAGGAACTGAAAGATGAGCTGGCAAAAAGACCACAAGATGCTAATGCTACAGTTGGGAATGACTACAACAAGCTGGAGAACACGGTCAACTTTGATGTTAGTATCATGTCCTTCTTTGTGTTGTGGGATATATATATTGTCTATATCTATAGTATTTGAGAAGGAACTTAAACACCGGCGTGTTAAAAGAATTGCAAACTGACTGACGTTTTGTACGTTAGACCTTCTTTGGAGTAAAAAAAGAGGATATATTGTTTTAAGCCTTGGTTGGGGTTTAACAGCTTCAGGTTTTTGCGTTCCGTATCTTTGTTTTCGTTTTGGTATTTTCCTTTTCTTTTGAGGTCAGTTCTCCACTAAAGATATGAAGCGAGCAAACGTGACCGCAGTGTAAAATGTTCTCGTTTTCCTTTATACCCTTATATTATTAAAACTTGTGAAGGGCCTATGTTCCCAAAGGAGCGAAGAAGACTAGGCTTATGCATACTTGCGCGACTAACACAGCCCAAGACACCTGAATGGGTTTTTGGCTTCCGTCAATCAAAAACTACTAACTAAGGCGTTGGAAATTTAATAGAAATGTGAGAGAAATTTAACAGAAATTTGACATAAATTTGACCGAAATTTGACATAAATTTGACATAAATTACTATATCTAGGCGTCTGCATCTTGATAAAAAGAAGATAAATGAGTATAAATACTACAAATTGTTTCCTGGTATTATTGCTAAAACAAGAGACGTGTCTGTTTGTTTTCACAGAGTGCCTTCCCCTTCCCTGCCGGAGGACAAAGTAAAACCATTCAGTTAACGATCCTAGAAGATTCGGTGCCTGAACCAGACGAGAAGGTGTATTTATACCTTACTGGTGCTACTGGAGGAGCAAGGTTGTCAACGAGTAGTGACAACTTACAGGTAACTAGTGTATTTGTATACACACCTATTTCAAAAAACGTTGTCAGTCCAAGATCTGATATTGGCGACCTGAGCCTAAACGAAATTTTTGTGCTTTATCTAATTGTTAATATATATTTCATTTCAATTATCATTCAGTCCTGGGCAGTCGTAACCATCGAAGGGAATGATCTAATGAACGGCGAGATTGGCTTCATATCAGGATCTCAGTCAGCCACCATTGATGAAGATGGCGCTGCTACAGGTATTTACTCGTCAATACCTACAAACACTTGCACACTACAGATTGCAGGATAATGGTTGATTATTAGGAATTTAGGATTTGATTTCCATCGCTGGGTTTCAATCAGCTGATCAAAATTTTCAAATATCATTATCTGCTTCAAATGGTGGTCAAACACTGATCATCATCATGTGCTGTCATTCCCTGTTAACTAAGTCTCCCTTGTTGGCGATTCTTTACTTTGCCAATAATCGCCAACGAGGGAGACTCTACTAGCAGGGAAGTGCTATCAGCCAGAAAGAATTCTATTGTAAACTTTTGATTCAGCTGATAGACATTCTGCATGACCCAGTAATTCTGTTCCCTCAAGAGAACATGAACTAGTTCTAGAGCATTCACAAGTTCATATTCTCTTGGTTCCCTGTATGGTTTCATAGCCAAAGCATGGACTTCAAAGTCGGCATTCCTTTATAAGGAAGCGTAACAATATTCATATTTGCTAACAATCTCGTTACACATATTTGCTGTTCATCTCATATCGAAAGTCCATGATGATTTATCTTTTTTCGACAGCCACCTTGAAGCTCGAGAGAAGAGGAGCCAAATTTGGGAGAGTTACTGTAAGTAAAACCTTGTTTTTTCAAATTTGTTTTCTAAGATTAAAAGTACAATATTTCTCTTTATTCTTGTGTTCTAGTCCTATGCTTCCTTGGCCCGTTATTTTTATTATTATTCTCAGACAACCACTTATTTATGCTATCCATAATTCCTATGAGAAGGAACATGCAATAATTGCTGAAAAGAATGACAGAATTAACTGTCCTTTACCTTACATTAAGTGTTCGAAATTCAGCTCGCCCTTCCATTTCAGGTTTTACGAAAGATTATTTTTTAATTTACTTTACCCTTAGCTTGAAACTAATCTAGTCTACCCTTATGTCTCTACTTGTCTTTAATAAGCTCGCATGTCGACGTGGCTTCTTTACAACTGCCCCAAACAAGCTACTCTTACATTCATCTTGTGTGTGTTACGGTAGAAATAACCAGCACTCAGCATCAAGTGATACATCCACCCTTTCTCTTGACGTAAAACTGTGTCTGGAGTAGAGTGTCTAACTTCTATCTTGGCTGTGCAGAATCTGTTTTAAACATCTTATTGCTTTTTGTTTTTCACTTATCCTGTTTTGGTTGAAGGATACGTCTGTTCTTTGTACTACTTTTCTCTTTCATTCTCTCTTTCTTTCTCTCTTTCTTCAGGTCGCAAATTGCTTTTATTGCAATACTGTCAAGGTAGTGTGCAAAGTCCTTTCTCTTATCTTCTTACCTTTGTTCCTCCTATTCACTTTTGCTTTCTTTACTCCTTGCTTTCGATCTGTGAGCCATGCCCTGACTTAGAATAGCTTAGAGGTTGTTTCAGGGTTCAATAAGATTGGAAGTTTCAAAATTTCTCTGTTTCTCACTCTTTTACTCAATCATTCTTTGTTTTTCCTTTTCTTCCTGCTATATATATCGTTTGTGCTCTCGCATCCTTTGACTATCTAAGGTATAGACAGACATAACTTTGGTTTTCTTTTCTTCTTTTTCAATATAAACTTTTAAGCTTGAAACAAGAACAAAATGTCTTAGAACATTGCTTTGCCATGCACGGCTGCAGGCCTAACTGCACACACCGTCCGAGATCTGATATGGGCGATCTGAGACTAAGCGCAGTTTTTGTGCTTTGATGTTTTCTGACTGAAAAACGAAAAATCTCAAGGTTATGTTTTATATAGAGGTTTTGCACCACCACGTGACGGCAGCCATGTTAGATGGCAGGAACAATACAGTCGTTTTACATGAGAAAGAATTCAATTCCCAAGAGCAAAGGGATTTTATCGTTCTATCAATCTAACCACAGGAAGCCCAAGCAGTATTGTGGGATGGGCACGTGATGGTGCAAAACCGCTATTCCAATATAAAAGGAAACTACGTTTTTCTGCAGTAAATATATTACAATTTCCTCGGTTTCAGATTTTAAATCTCCGACCGAAAACGGTTTTGAAATCGGTATACAGAAGCTTTTTATTGAAGTTAAACGTTGGTATACGTTTATTATCAGGTGTTGTGGCGTGTTCGTGAACCAGACAAGCGCCCACAGGTAGAAGAATACCAGGGCACTGTGACCTTTGACCGTGATGTCATGGAACAAGACCTCGTGATAACGATAAAGAAGGATGACGTAAGTACAACTATGGAAGTACACTTTATTACATGCTCTGTTGCTAATAATCAACACTATATCTTTGGCGTTGGCTCGAGTAATTCAGTACCGCTCGAAAGCTGGATTTTCATTACTCCCTAAGTACAGTACCGCTTTTGTAAAGGTTAGGTTTAGTGCTATCGTTTGGATGACCAATCTATTGTTTTATAATCCAATCATGTAACTCGTTCCGAGCGGTACGGGCTGGCTCGTTGGCTTTGGTTACTCACAGTAATAGGCCTCTTTACCTTGGGCGTAATTTTCTTACATTTCAGATCATGTGTCATTCTCTTTTTTATCCATATTTATGTGGCTTATCATACAGAACCGTTAGACAAATAAATGATACCCTAGGGAATGACATGTGGTCTGATATTAAAAACATTAGGCCAAAGCTAAAAGGGGCTACTTGCAAGGAGTAATTGCGTACGTGTGTCTTCTTTTTTTCAGATACCTGAATTCAGATACTCTTTCCACGTTGACCTGGTGAAGCTCCAAAACTCCGTACAAGCCAGAATAATACCATCAGCCAGCTCAGCTGTTATTACTGTACTTGACAGTGACTACCCGTATGGTGTGATCGGCTTCTCATCCCAGGACCTGTAAGTTCCTCGTTCAAAGTCAAACGTGTGAGGCTCGGGCTTGATCGTGTTAAACTAATGAAACTCTTTTGCTTTCAGGTATAAACCAGTTAACCTTAAGACAACAGAGGTCACCTTAGAAGTCGTTCGTAGCTATGGCAACACGACTGACGTCACTGTGACGTATGGTACAGAGATGGTGCCTGAGAAATCCACCGAATCTGGCATCCCTACGTCACAAGCTGTTGTCAATCAAGACTATCAACAGCCAAGCACAAAGACATTGGGATTCAAACCAGGGGAGGTAAGTATCGAGCACACATAGTAGACCAAGAAACTAGGGCGAGTGGTGAGGAGATGGGGCTAGTGGTGAGAGACTGGGGCTACTGGTGAAGAGAATGGGGCTAGTAGTGAAGAAACTAGGGCGAGTGGTGAGGAGATGGGGCTACTGGTGAGAACAATAAACCTAGTGGTGAGAGACTGGGGCTAGAAACGAGGAGACTGCGGCTACTGGTGAAGAGACTGGGGCTGGTGGTGAAGAAACTGGGGCTGGTGGTGAAGAAACTGGGGCGAGTGGTGAAGAAACTGGGGCGAGTGATGAAGAAACTGGGGCGAGTGTTTAGAGACTTGGGCTGATGGTGAGAGACTTCGTCTATTGCTGGATATCTCTTTTTTATTGTATCTCATGATTCACAATGCCTACTGCCAGGCACATTAGTACCCTGCTTGTTGCGGTAGCGATTTCTAAGCCTAAAGTGTTGACAAGATTTTATTATTGTTTTAGTCGTGGGACAACAGAGGTGACGTAAGAGACATGCCATTATCACGCGAATATTTTCTAAAAATGTATATTATAAGTAAAGAAGTAAAAAAGCTAAAAATGCATCGAGACAGATAATAAAATGGCTAGACTCTAAACCATTCCCTCTTGGGACGAGTATATACCGTTACCGTGCCGTGCCATGTGTTTTTTCTTTACTTATATATATTACCTACGTTTCCACCAACAGACAAGAAAGACCATTAGTATTACCCTGACTCCTGAGACTCCTTCAGACAGTCGCTATCCAAAGGCATTCAGGATCAAGATCCTCAACGTCACCAACAAGGCTATGTAAGTATAATCCAATTGTATAGAACGGTCTGAACCCAGGTGAATTAATATTAATCGAAGTATTATGATCATCCGTGTGGATGTAGTCCTGAGAAGGACTGTTTGATGTGACTGACGTTTCGACAACCTGAGCGGAAGACATCTTCAGAGTCAAGTGAAGAATAAAAGTCAGATTGGTCATATTTATACTGCCAATTTGATGTGACCAGTAACGTTTCGACAACCTGAGCGGAAGTCATCTTCAGAGTGAAGAATAAAAGTCAGATTGGTCATATTTATACTGGCAGTATAAATATGACCAATCTGACTTTTATTCTTGACTCTGAAGATGACTTCCGCTCAGGTTGTCGAAACGTCAGTCACATCAAACAGTCCTTCTCAGGACTACATCCACCCGGATGATCATAATACTTCGATTAACATAAGTATGATCCATCAAATGTTGCTAGATGTTTATTAGTTTATAAAGTTTTAAATCTCAATATCTGCTCCAAATAGTGGTCCCACACTGACCACCATGTGCTGTCAACCAAAAAGAATTCTATTGAAATCTTGTGATTCAGCTGATTAATATTCTGCACGAGACAGGAAATGACGTCAAATGAATTTAAGCTTTCAATTTTCAATGATTTCTACTCTTATCTCGCCCTGTGTCAAAAATGCGTAACCAAAATTTAACTAGATGTCCTTCTTCCTTCAATCAAAATGATACTCAACTCAGGTCGTTGAAGATTTGATTGGTCGAAGGCAGGAAGCTTGATGTCTTGTAGGGTTCGCTTTATATTGAAAATGAGTATAACGTAGGTTCGTTCTTTTACGTATTTCCAGTATCAATAAGGAGACTAGTCGTGCTATGGTGATAATATCTAATGATGAAGATACAACGAGATTCCTTGCCCTCCGTGCCAGATCAAGACTACCTTTAAATGATGAACATATTAACGAGTAAGTAAACATGTTCTGCTGTGCTGTGCTGTGCTGCGCTGCGCTGTGCTGTGCTGTGCTGTGCTGTGCTGTGCTGTGCTGTGCTGTGCTGTGCTGTGCTGTGCTGTGCTGTGCTGTGCTGTGCTGTGCTGTGCTGTGCT